TAACAATTATCTCATAAGATAATACATTTTCCAAAAACTCATTTAACAATTTCAGTTGTTCTAGTAACTAAAATTGAATAAAACCATAAAACACCTGTGTAATTTTATTTTATCAGGTATCACCATAACAATAACATAATGCTTGATTTTTTGGAAATAGCTGTACTGAATGACATGTAATTGCGCATTGTCAATTGAATCGACATACTTCCCGGTCAAGGACATATTGAAGGAAAATCATATGTTTTTTTTCATATAAGACAGAAAAGTCGTCATTATATAAATTTGTCGGTTTCAGGCACGAATAATCGTGCATAAACACGTGGATACTAAATGGAAAGTAAGAATAAAATACTGTAAAATACTTCTGCACCCAAAGTCTTATACCGATTTCTTAATTTAAAGTGAGTGGATGAACTCATACATCATTTATGTCTTGCTGTCAAATATTTCAGCTGTTTGTTCAGTTTAATATCAATTTGCAGTGTCAAAAATATCCGTAACAGTTTTTAACTTTCTGAAACATCTAGAATTTGCTACGTTTTCGTACCCGCAAACCCGTTCTCTTTCCTGCGAATGAGACTTATCACCAGATTTGTACTTACATGAGATACACGAAGGGTGTCACAAGTAGAGTAGGATCTGCTTGCCTTCCGGCAAGTTTTGGGTGAAATTCCTGTTGCTCAGGTGTTATGTCTTTCTTTTGTTGTGTTTTGTAGACTGTTGTTTATTATGGGTTGGTTTCGCCATCTTGGATCGCAAATGACATCGTCCAAATTTTTAATGAAATATGCAAAATTTATAATTTTTAATTTTGATAAAGGAAAGCACTTTAGTTTTTATTTTAAATCAGGTTGAAGCCACCAATTTTCTTTGGAAAATGCCTGTCAGGAGTTACAATTCTTTTGTATTTTGCTGCACCATATGCACATTTAGACATTTTATGGACTAGTCACTTCTCCTTTTTGAATTTACCTTTATATTTTTTATTACATTTTCTGATAAATATTATGTTCAAAAATCTATCTATTATGTAGCAAGAATTGTCACATGTATAATCCTTTATACCAAAATATATCAGCTTTGCACAACCTGTAGCTTGAAAATAAGCGTGGTGACCTATATTTTTGTTGTTGTTGTTGAAAATAGCTAAATAAAAATTACGTTTTAGTAAAGTATGAAGAAAATCTGTTATTTTTAGCTTTTACCTACATACCTTTAAAAAGATAAAGAGTCAACAAATTCAAGTTTTGACAGCAGTGCATATGTTCGACCTCGATTAAAATAAGTCTGTCAACTTAGCGTGAATATGATCAACACCACGTGATGTTGCTTTCCGATATCTTTTGAAATTCTTGGGACAACTACGATCGATTTAAAAGGTGTCCTGTGAACAGTTAATACAAATCAAAATGAAATATATATTGTGCATTAGCATTCTTTCAACAATTTTACTTCAAGCTATTGTTAAAATAACAGGTAAATATGAATACTCTATGTTTCCTTTTTTTTAGCTCCGAAATAAGGTCGGTGTGACACGTTTTTTTAACATTTTGTTCCAACGCCAATAGTAATATTAAACATAGATCTTCTGAAACAACTGAGCTGATCAATTAAAGGACTTAGGTTGGCTTTCGTTGCACAAATTGTGTCCGTTGATGCCAGCGACCAACCAACATCAACTATGTTTCTTCAGGCTATTATGACAATTACTGGTATATATCACTTATATACTTTTTCCCTTTTTAGCTCCTATATCGGGTCCAAATGACACGTCTCCTTACTATTTTGAGTTTGTTGCCTATCCAATGTCCATTGTAATATTAAATATACTCCTTCTGAAACCACTTGCGTTTGGTTCTTCGGTTGTCTCCTCTTTTACAAATTATGTCCGCTGATTCAAACGACTAACCAACATGACCGCAATCATGGCGATTACTATTGACAAATTAGAATGTAAAATGCAAATTTAAGTGTTAATTTGAAAATAGATATCAATTAAAACTATTGCAGATTTCTTATTATATGGTTATATTAAGAAGAGAAAATAAATACGTTCTACTTGACGGTTTTCTTTTTTGCCGAGCTTCAGACATTTGAAAAAAATTATTAAAATTACATGTTTCTCCTCCGTGAAACATCATCTTTGCAATTATGCAGCTTATATATCGTCAACGTATAATTTATGTTTGTACCTGTTGTACCTCTTCTTTTTCAAATACTATTTAATATCAATACTAATATTAATGTTCCTGTCCGGTCAGAAACGTCGTCAATGTTTGTCTTTGTTTATATTTCAGTGGTTTGCCCTATGAGGAATTTGGGGTTGTACGATAAACCAATTGAGGAACTAAAAAAAAAAAAAATTTTATCACGAATTTAGAAAATCGTGATCACGGATTAAAATCATTATCACGAATTATATAATTCGCTAAATGGTTATAATTCGTTATCACGGATTAAATTTATGATAACGAATCTATGAAATATGTTATCATATATTTGTTTATTCGTTATCAATAATTAAAGGGGTACTAGCTACGAGATATAGACAAAATAAAATATGATTTGTTTTTGTTCAATCATAAATGAAAGTGAAACAGAGAAATAATAATTCGCTTATAGCAGCCAGTTTGGTTCAGTTTTGTCAAAATAAGCAAAGAAACATCGCTAATGAATTATTCACTTGCAAGTGAATAATTCGACCTCATTAAATCCGTGTTCATGTGAACTTAAACTTAACCCCTTAGTTAGAGATGGGTTACGCATGAACTAGGCGTGTTCAGCTATTTAAAGGAAAAGAATGTCAACACTGGAAGTGAAACAAGGGTAAACCATTTGGTTGACTGATTCGATCTACAAAAGCTCATTCTTATACTGGTAAAAACCATTATTAACATATTTTTTAACCTATAATATGAAATCAAACAGACCTAGAAAATTCATATTTATATCTATGTTTATGTTTATATCGGGTTATATGATCGTCGGCAGTCTACGGAGGTCACCTCGATGGTTAATTAGATGGCGTCTAGACTAAAATACACAAAAAATGGTGATACATACTATCGTGTCCATGCATTGTAAATTGATTATTTTAGACTTTTATAATTTGAATATGCGTTTTAGTATGTTATAAGTCGAATAGACATTAGATGGATTTGGTTTTTTTTTTTAGATCCCTATTGGTCAAATAGCTCTTTAAGTGTTTCGGTTCTTATACGTCCTTGGCTTTCAAATATTCGGCTTTGAGTGTTCATAATGAAGGTAAATCCAAAAAAGTGCTTCGAATCTATGGAATATGTTATCATGAAATATATAAAGTGTTGTTTTCATATTTTGCAGCACTGGGTCGACACCACTGCTAACGGACTAACAATCCCCGATGGTATCTTCAGCTTAGTAATCAGTAATTCGGTACTGACATGATTTATAACAAGGTTTCTAAAATTGGCCGTTTACAAATTTTTCAATTATAAAGAAATTAAGGTTTTCAACTCCCTCAGGCAAAGTTGAGCTCCTAGCGTCACTGATGAGTCGTTTGTAGACGAAACGCGCGTCTGGCGTACACAATTTTAATCATGGTATCTATGATGAGTTTATTGACTGTAGATGGATTTGGCTATTTTTTAAGACCTTATCGGTCATATAGCTCTTCAACTGTTTCGGTTCTTATACATCTTTGGCTTTCAAATATTTGGCTTTAAAAGTTCCGGATGAAGGTAAATCCAGAAAAGCGCTTGGGACGCATTGAATTTATAAAAAAATGTTTTCATATTTTTCATCATTATTTTTTAAACAAAAAATAAATATTCTTTATTTTTCATATTGCCTGTTAGAATTATACTTCATTGTCTAAACTCAAGTGAAGTATTCCTGTAAAATATTTTATCAGTATCCAGGAAATACTTAGAATATAATAATAAAAAAAATGCATAAACTACACAAAAGTAAGACCATTTAATTGTTTATTCTTTTATACTGACATGATATAGAGTAACGATAATGTAATATTAAAATAAGCTACCAGGAAATATAGGAATCTCTCTCGAGCAAATCTCTGATTCCTTTGGATTTTCAAACATTTTCGCCTTGAGCATCACTAAAGATATCTTAATTGTCAAAATGTTCATCTGATGCAGTAAAATTGGCATCGTTCAGGTCATTTGATATCATCTGTAGTGTTTTAATTAGAAATGGCAACACTCGTACAATTTTTACTTTCTGGGAACATTTATCAATTGTTACCCTTTAAAAAAACTATTGAAGTTATACAGTTATCGCTACATAAACATGTAGCGACTTCGTTATTTTGTGTTCAACCATGAAAGTATTATATTGACATATACTTCAATGGTTCAACTGAATCTGAACATCTCATTTATAATCGTTATTTAATCTTATTATTCTAAGATACATAAAAAGAAAAACAGAACTTATCAGGTATTGTATTGTGTTTTGATTTGCATTTGTTTTTATGTATATATTCACATTCCAGGTAATATGGGTTCGTTTTGCCAACTTGGATCGCAAAGGACCCCAAATGATCGGTCAAAATTTTCAATGAAATAAGCAAATTCACTTTTCTTTTTAATGATAGAATTTGTGTGATTTTATCTGAATGATAACGACTATTTTTTACGAAGACAGAAAAATCATATTGATTAAAAATTCTTTAATCTCTGCATTATGAGGGGAAATAACTCAGATGATTTAATTTAATAATTGAAAGTATAGAAAATTCATAATAATGCTTTTTCCATGTATATTCATATCAATTATGTCAACTTTTCACAACCTGTATCTTGACAAGCTCGGTAAACTATACTTTTTGATAAGCATGATTAAAAACTACGTGTTAGCAAAGTTTGAAGAAATTATGTCATTAATTGCTTTTATCCCCATTCTTTAAAAAGAGAAAGAATGAAAAAATCTAATCTTTGACTGCATTGCATGTGTCCCGACTTCATTTAAAGTTTCTGTGTCTATATAGCGTGAATATGATCAACATCACGTGACGTTGCCTCCCGATTGTTTTGAAATTCAGAGACAATTTGTTCTGTATTTAACAATCGACTTCAAGGCGCACTGATAACTATTAACAAAAATCAAAATGAAGTACATATTGTGCATCAGTGTTCTTTCGACTATTTTACTGCAGGCTATTGTGAAAATTACAGGTAAATATAAATAATATAATATTTTCCCTTTCTTTGACCTCCTATTTGGTTGTGTCGTTTTTCTAACTATTTTGTGCCAATCGTTATATTAAACATGCATCTTCTAAAACAACTGGGCTAATCCTTGACCTATAACGGTTTACTTTTATAAATTGTAACTTGGATGGAGAGTTGTCTCATTGGCACTCATACCACATCTTCCTATATCTAATTAAATTAAAAAGATGACTTAGGTGATTCTCAGTGTTTGAGTTGTCCTGAGGAAGGTTAATCCAGAAATGCTACTAGTTAGTGTTATTTTTGCTCATTGGCTTTCGTTTTACGAATTGTATCCTCTGATGCCAGCAACTAACATGCATGACCGCGATGACTGTAAATAAAATATAGACTTTAGTAAAAAGGGTACACATAAATTGTTTTAAAGGCTTTTTTTTTTTAATTTCGTTATTTTTGTTAATTTACTAACGTTATGAATACATACAAATAAACATTCTACTTAACGATCGTTTTACTGAAGTTTAGACGATGGAACAAATTTCATGAAAATGACTGCTTCAGTCCTCTTTGCAGGCTCTTATAAATTTTGTTTGTTACTTTTGTATATTGTCTATTTATAATGTTATGCCAATAATAAAATTCCTGTCCAAAGATAGAAACATCGTCTTTGTTTATATGTAAGTGTTTTGTCCTATAAGGAATTATGTGTGGCTCAATGTTTAAGGTTTGATTAGTTATAAAAGTTCATGTTTCTTTTATGTGGCTTGCTTATCACGGATAAAATATAAGTTATCATTAGCAAGCGATGGAGACTCTTCTTTTATCATTCTAAAATAGCAAAGAAAAGTCATTTCATTTCTTATCATTACTCGGACGAGTCTTAAAGACATAATAATAATGCATCTGATTATCAATATTCAGTCATATAACACATTCTTTATGTATTAGATACAGAGTTAAACATTTCAAACAATGCAAGCCGAAAAGGTCCTGTGACAAATATTTGCAATTCTACTACAAAGACAACGGTTCAATCATATAGTGCTCAGTTATATGCAGATAACTGGTTTAATATTTCGTTTGAATACAAGGAAACAGACGACCGATTTCATGTACATTAAAGTTTTATATGCAATTGATCTATTGTTATTCAACATTTGATGTAATTGCGCATCTGCTTTAGGTACGACCTATGTACTTCCTGGTCCTGAGACGACGCATTATTTACTTTTATTCATATCTAAATTCATCAGACATCAACGTTGATTTTTTAGATTAATTCAACTGGTTCTTTCGGGGAAGCCAAACTTTAAAAAAGAATATTTTACTATTTTTCTGAAATTTGGAAATATTCTACATCTTTAAAGGTTTTAAAAGCTTAACAGATAATGTTCACGTAGTTTTATTAACTGTCCTTGTTTGTTTACTGTATCTATAACTAGTTTTGAAAATGTACTTATAATACCAAACATTATGAGACAGAAACGCAACAAGGAACGGTATGCAGTCAAAATAGTTTATTGTGTCTATATTCCATTATTTTCAGATTTCATTCATAAAATAATACGAAATTCATGTTGGAGTTTCCTGAAATTAATACTTGTGTATATATAACAGTACAAATTGGAATTCGATAGGACCCAGAATCCTCCTAGTATAAATACTAGTAGAAATTTGAATATCCAGATTTGTACCTACATGTAAATGACAGCATAGGCTCAGGTGCTTTGCTTTGCGCCAAAATAAAACACCTTTCAATTGCACCTCAACACATATTTCATAAGCTATACAGAAAAGAGACTTTTCGAACTTTCTACTGATCTACCGTGAATGAGGGTCTGGATAGGGGTCTTCATTTCTGTATTCTGTATTTTTTCAGGCCATTTTTCTCTATTCAGTAAAAAATATCCTTATTCTGTAAAATTCTTGCTCGGGTCCAACATATGCGAATTTTTACATGAAAGTTCTTTACTTGTCTGTTTCAGCCTCCAGTAGATTGGTATTATTTACGAGTAATAGTTACTTGTGTGTACTCCGCTAATTGTGCCTTAAATATAACTTACCTTCAACTGGACAGCATACTGAGGATGTTATTAAAGGGGACATAATTTTCGAAAACATTTTTTTGGACAATTTTATTCTAAAAATGATATATTTTCAATCAAAGGGGGTCGGGGGCGTACGTTTATGATGTTCAAAGTTGGGGGATGGCAACATTACCCCTAACCCCGTGAATCTGTAACTGCACTACACAAAGGACACCATTTTTTTTCTTTTGGATTAATATCTGATTAAGACAAAACACTGAAATTTATTTAATTTCTTTGCAATTATTTGGATATCTGGGATAGTAAGCAGTAGATAAAATTACATTAGGTATATTTGGTCATAATTGGTTTGTGATGTGAGTTACAAGTATTGAGATTCATACCAAGGTCAGTTTTACAACAGAGACAGTAGTTAACCGACATTAGAAAAATCTGGAATCTGATAGTAAGGGATCGCAAAATAAAAAAGTTAAATTCATCAATTTACATCACTGAATAAAGGTCAAGAACCACACAGAGCAGTATGCAGTGGCAATTTGAATTTTTTTTCTGAAAATTAAAAATTCAATCACCTGAACTAGATTTTATCCTTGATAGCCTAACTGTCCAAAAAATGTCTATCAATCAATTGTTTGGTAGAAGATTAAAATATATTTAACATTTATTGGTATTAAAACAAATGTATGCCCAATCATTTATGAGGCACAGATTTGGTCAAAATTATTGTATTTAAGGAGATTCTGAAATATTTCAGGACCTCCATAATTCAAATTCAGGATATCCATAAATCATTGATGACCTTCAAAAATAATTCAGGACCGCCACATTCCATTTCGGGAATAATGGAGGTCCTGAATCGAATTTTAGAGGTCCTGAAATATTGCAGGATATCATGAAATCGATTTTTTTTGGAGATCCTGAAATCGAATTATGGAGGTCCTGAAATATTTCAGGATATTGTCTTTGATTTTTTTGGGGTGTATTTTGATATTTGCAACAAACAAGAAAAAGATCTAAGCAAAGCATCAGGTTTGAAGAACAGAGACAAACCAGGGAACATTAAAAAGGTACAATGGCAAATAAGGGACAAATTAACTCAAATAACTAGAGACGTGAATTATACTTACAAGACATAGTCATAACATCCTATATGGGGTATATGATGTCTTATATGATTTATACGACTTCTACAGATACAATCAGATACATGTACCAACAATTTACTTTTCTGTTGCAAATATCAAAATATACCCCCCTCCCAAAAAAAAATATCAAAGACAATATTATCGTCTTCCAGCCATTTCCAATAAATTGTCGATTTAAATTGTAATGAATTGTGGATCTCACAAATACGACTTCAATCTATTGAAAATGGTCATGCTAGGTCTTTTAATGCCACTATAAGTGAGGAATTTTGCTTTTTTTATTTATTGAAATCATGCCGGCGCAAGAGACATTTTGTCTCTGAAATTCCCTTCTATTGCAGTGCTTTTTGTTGTCAATTTTTATCCTGGTCTGAACTCTGTCAGAAACGGTTTTATCGATGTTGTTATGTAATATGTAATCATTGCTCACACAATGCAGGAGAAGGATGTAGGAATAACTTTGTCTGCACTAGCGGACGAAATGATACTTAGAGATTTTTTTTAACTTGTGCAAGATCGTGTTTTCGGAGGAAAAAATACTGATGCTTACGAATGTATAGAATTGGCATGGCTGAGATCAATGAAACAGTTCCGATTACGATCATTTCGACATTTTATACCAAATGATCTACTAGTCTATTGTCAATTATCAATAAGAAATCTTATGTGCTGAAAACGCACAATTTCATTAATCTGTTAATCATTTATTTCTGTAATCAGTATTTTTTTTTTACCTTATTCTTTATTTTTACACAATTATTCTTTATATTTTAGCACACCATTATTCCCTATTCTATATCCCTCCCCCCCCCCCCCCCCCCATTTTTATCTATTCTTTTTTTTTTTACCATTATTCTCTATTCTGTAAACCCAACCCACACATTCGTGGATGTGTTCATTGAATGTTTCGGACTTTAGTGTGACGTCCATTTTCGCTGAACTAGTATTCATTATTATTTAGGGGCCAGCTGGAGCCCACCTCCGGGTGCGGGATATTCTCGCTGTGTCTTCAAGAAATATCTACCGTTTATGACAGTATTTTCTAAGTACCGTCGTCTCTGTCTTATTGGCAATGATACTGCATCTCTTTTATTTTTGTATAGTGAGACTATTTTAACAGGGTAGAATAGTACTGTACTACAAGATGCATCTATAGTATAATAAATGTTAAATGATTTATGAAGTGGAATGTCTTAAAACTGACGACTTAAATTATGGTAACATGTATAAGAAATATATGAAAATACACAAGCTTGTACATAGAAAACGCAATTCAAACAATTACAGCCGATTGCAATGAGTGTGTAAGCAATGGTAATATCTTTGGTTAGCTTGCTTGCTAGCTGAACCGTGAAGTCATTATTAGGTTAGGTAAACTAGCCTCCTTTAAGAGTAGACTAGTCCGACAGATAACCGATCTATCTGTCTGTAGGACTAGGCTACTTCGAAAGAAGGGTAGTATACCTTACCTTATAATTACTTCACGGTTCAGCTAGCAAGCAAACTAACCAAAGATATTACCTTTGCTTGCACACTCAATGCAATCGGCTGTAAGACTAAATGACTATAATTCTTCACATTTCAGTTTCTAGTGATCCATCATTAATTGAAGATTATTCACCGGGTGTCGACTATAAAATTTGATTCTACTTTACAATATAACCCAAAAAAACAAAATAAAAAATCAAATTAATATATGTACATTTGAAAAACAACATTTAGATAAAACTATATACATTTGATACTCATAAAAGTTAAGGGTAGAAAACAGGGATTAGAGCAGATTCTGGTATCATACTATTAAAACCCTTTACTGTACTGCATGAAACTATTTGTTGTGGTAATTAATTACAATTCATAACTGTACGCGGATAAAATGAATATTCATAACTGTCTTCAGATGTTTGTATATGCCTAAATGAGTGTGGACTGCTATGTCTGGTTCTATTGTCTAGTGGGATCAAAAGGTTAGATGTAGGGACTGCAACCATTTCATGCTCTTCTCTGTACTTTTTCAATTTGTGAAATTTGTTGTGTTCGATGTGGAACCAAATGGTTGAACAGTTCTCTGATTTTTGTATTTGAATGCATGAGCTTTAACTTTAGGTGAGGCTATTTTAAGGTTTCTGCGAATAAATCCAAAAGACTGATTTGCTTTTGATGTCATGTTATTTATATATATTTATCCCATTTTATGTTTGATTGGAGAGTTATATAGGCTTGAATATTTTGTAGAATCAGCTTTTTCGAGTGAGTGATTATGTAAGTGAAGTCTAAAGGTTTTCGTTTTTGTTCTACACAGAGAATATCTGCAGACCGCTTCTAAATCAGACTGTATGTGTCATCCGGTTTCTTAATTTCCTTAATAATGCTATCATCTTTTGATATAATAGTAGGGTTGTCATCAATAGGTATACCACATATCATATCTTCAATATATTTCCAGTAAGATGTTCTTTGTTGTTTTTGTATGTCGTGTTTTTTTTAATTTTTTTTGAGTTGGTCTAATTTCCCAATTTATTGTATGGGTAATAGATAATCCACTGAACATTATGTAAATCTGACTTGAAATTCGTTCCATGGTGCTGTCCAAAAAATGAACATTGTCTTCTAAGCACTACAAAATGCTTGACCATAACTAATTGAAAAGTGCGAAACTTCCTTGGGACGTGACCACCATTATGACGTGATGTGATGCCATACAAATAACGTTATTTTTTGAAAATTTAAAAAAAAAACATCTTTGACTTTATATCTTAGTAAATCTTCAATTATGCAAGGTAACATGCTGTTAAGAAAGATTTTTTTTAACTATATATTGTTTACGTTATTTTGTACGGAAATTATCACGCTTCTGGACAGTGTATTGAAATATCGGTCCGCACTAAGAGGGTTAACTGTTTTTTTATTCCAATCTACTGGAAATCTTAATTTTGACTGCCATCTTGCTACTGTTAATGCGTCATGTTTGATAGATATGTCTACTTTTTTTTTTATCTTATTACATTCTGTCAATAACGTTTGAAATATTTTCAGGTTTTGGTGATTTGTGTTATTCTGGGTACCACCACTGCAGTGGAACGTCATGGTGCTGTCCTAATGGATACGTCTGTACTGGGACTACAACATGTCTCAGTACTGGGTGAGTAAATCTTGTACTATCAAGATGGATACGTCTGTTCGGGGACATCAGCATGTCTCAGTATTAGGTGAGTAAATCTTGTACTATCAAGATGGATACGTCTGTACTGGGACATCAACATGTCTCAGTACTGGTTGAGTAAATCTTGTACTATCAAGATGGATACGTCTGCACATGGTAAGTAAATCTTGTACTATCACGATGGATACGTCTGTACTGGGACACTAACATGTCTCAGTACTGGGTGAGTAAATCTTGTACTATCAAGTTTGATACGTCTGTACGGGGACATCTACATGTCTCAGTACTGGGTGAGCAAATCTTGTACTGTCAAGATGAATACGTCTGCACGGGGTAAGTAAATCTTGTACTATCACGATGGATACGTCTGTACTGGGACACCAACATGTCTCAGTACTGGGTGAGTATATATTGTACTATCAAGTTTGATACGTCTGTACGGGGACACCAACATGTCTCAGTACTGGGTGACTAAATCTTATACTATCAAGAAGGATATGTCTGTACGGAGACATCGAAATGTCTCAGTATTGGGGGGGTAAATCTTGTACTATCAAGATGGATACGTCTGTACAGGGACATCAACATATCTCAGTACTGGGTGAATAAATCTTATACTATCAAGATGGATACATCTGTACAGGGACATCAACATATCTCAGTATTAGGTGAGTAAATCTTATACTATCAAGAAGGATATGTCTGTACGGGGACATCAACATGTCTGAGTACTGGGTGAGTAAATCTTGCACTATCAAGATGGATACGTCTGTACAAGGACATCAACATGTCTCAGTACTATCAAGATGGATACGCATACGTACAAGGATAAACATGTCTCAGTACTGGGTTTGTAAATCTTGTACTGTTAAGATTGATACGTCTGTACAGTGACATCAACATGTCTCAGTATTGGGTGAGTTAATCATTCAGTACAAGATTGATACGTCTGTACAGGGACATAAACATGTCTCAGTATTGGGTGAGTTAATCATTCAGTAACAAGATTGAAACGTCTGTTCGGTGACATCAACATGTCTCAGTATTGGGTGAGTTAATCATTCAGTAACAAGATTGAAACGTCTGTACGTGGACATCAACATGTCTCAGTACTGGGGTAAATTCTGTACTATCAAGATGGATACGTATACTTACAAAGATAAACATGTCTCAGTATTTGGTTTGTAAATCTTGTTTTATCAAGATGGATATGTCTGTTTGGGGACATCAACCAGTCTAAGTATTGGGTGAGTAAAGTCTATGCAAATAGATACGTCTGTATTGGGACTTCAACGGATAAGTGATTTTTTAAACTATCAAGAAAGACACGTATGTACGGGGACTTCAATATGTCTCAGTATTTGGTGAGTAAATCTTGTACTATCAAGATGGACACGTCTGTTCGGGACATAAACATGTCTCAGTATTGGGCTAGTAAATCTTGCGGTATCAAGACGGACACGTCTGTTCGGGGACATCAACCAGTATTGAGTTAGAAAATGCAGATATGTGATTTCATATATGTCTGTACATGAACTAATAACATGTCAACTGACATTGATATTTCATTAATCGATTGTCTACTTATAACTGGACTTATGATATGTCAGCTGCTACGAATATGCCAATTTACGTTTGTCTGTTGGTACCTTGACTTATGATAAGTCAACTGATATGAATATGTCATTTCATGTTTTTCCGTGTGTACTCAGACTTTTAATATCTTAACTTACATGTCATTTGATAGTTGTCGTTTTGTACCTGGACTTATAATATGCCAACTGACATTGATAGCTCATTTCATGTTTGTAACTGTGTACCTGCACATATGATATGTCATCTGATCTTTAATTTCTTGTTTCAAATTGGCTGTTTGTACTTGGACAAATGTTATGTCATCTGTATTTGATATGTCATTTTAGGTTTGTATCTTTTTGCCTGTACATTCATGTATATATATGTCATTTCCTGGTTTGTTGCTGATTATTTATTATTTTTTTTTTTTTATTTTTCATCAGACTAATTGTTGGAATTGTGATTGGTTGCCTGGTTGGTGTTGGAATCTTTATTGGTGTGATTTGTGCCTGTGTCAGGCGTAAGTAAATACTTTTGATATCATTTTTAATCAAGCAAACCATTTCCAATGAAGAGGTTTTTTTTTCCAGATTTACAACAAAATAATTATAAAATGGAAATATATTATCATTAATACCAGCCATTCAAATCATAAGAAGAGTAACAAACGTGTGCCTGTTAAACCTTTGCACCATCTTGTTTCTATATTAACAATACTTTACAAAGAATTCATTGTTCACATAAGAAACAAGAAAACCAAATTTAATGTACGAAGAACACGCTTAAATAATACATCTGTTAAAATATCACCTTCTAAATAAATGTAATGTAACTGTGTCAACTTAGTTATTCTGAGAACGATGTAATCATACCATTTGTAACAAAGTAACAAAACAATTGATGTATAATAGTTAAATGTTATATTTTTAATCTTGATACACTTTGATGCGATAAATAAATGTTGTATTGGTGTATGAAAGATCAAATATGTATAAAAACTAATTTGACGTATTTATTTCACAGATCGTAACAATGCCGGAACTCTTTTACAAACACAAGGTGGCGCACATGTAGTTACAGCACAATCTGGACAAACATATCCGCAATCTGGACAAACATATCCACAATCTGGACAAACATATCCACAATCTGGATACCCGGGAGCATCGTATCCACAACAACCAGGATACCCTCAAGCGTACCCAGTTCCAAAATACTGAATTTCAGCCTGACAAAATTTTAAGGAACTATCCTACAAACAAACATTTCAACAAACAAAGCTTTTTTGGAACAAAGTTTGCTGCTGTTAAACATAATAATATTCAAACTCATCACTTGAATTCTACATACTGTATCTATATCTGTATGTTCAATGTATACAACTTAAAATTACTGCTTTATAGGTACTTTTAGCTGTACTATGATTATGTTTTATCGTCGGGTGTAAACTTCTAATGCAACAATCTGAACCACTGACTTGTTAACCCCGATTTTCATGCACACGATGCAGGCAAGTAAACAATAGAAGTAATTTTGTATGTATGACTCTTTTTATTTAACGAATCGATTTGAGTGTAACATTTTTATATCTTTTTCTTGTCATGAACATTTTGAAAATAGTATTCTTGTTTTCATAATGACAGGAGCCGTGACGTTTTAGGGGTTTTTCACTATGATAGTGGTTTTGGCGTATTTAGGGGTCTTCATTTATGAATGGGGTCTTGGCGTAAGGGGTTTTTCATTATGCCAGTGGCGGGGACGTTTAAGGCTTAAGAACATGCAGCTTTATTTTCAATGATAGGGAAATCAGTGAAAGATGTTCAAAGCCATCGTCTTGATATAAATGAAGTAATCAAATTGAAATAAGCATCTGGTGCTGTAAAATTAGAACCGTTAATATTATTAGATATTAATTCACTCGAAGACGAAGGACGAATGGAAACCAATGTATGTCCGTGCTAACACACCTCGTGATATCATAACTCGATAGCAATAACAGTAAATGTAAAGTATACGGTAATGAGACAGCAACTACCCAAATCGAATAGACATACAATTTTCCATCATGGATCTTTGTGTATAACTTTGTGAAGTCAAGCCAAAACATTTGTTGTCCAAGGGTTATTACACTTTAACTGTTTAAATTCTACATTTTGGAGCACGTCTCATGATGACTAAATATTCTCTCTAAGTTGGCACACATTTTGTTTCAAAATAATGAAGTTTTATCCTTCTTAGTAGTCAAGTTAAAATTTCACACACTGTTTCATATAAGAAAGTAAATTTCCGTGATAGTATTCAAGGCAATTTCTCAACAGTTTTTTCTTTTGTGTTTACAAGCATTAGTTACTAGGTCACCGCATGCCTTAAAACTCCCAAAATATATTGTTATGAAACATTTTGTGCAGTGAAATGTAGAATTAATTTCCTACAGCTGTAAAATCCCAATTGATTATTTTTTGGGGTCTTATTTTAACAGGATGTGAAGTACATACGTTGGTATTTTAATTTGTTTTCTTACAGTTTCATATACATGGGTAGTTATATTTCAAAGCTTTACAGAGTGCTTTCTACATTTCATTACTCGACAGGTGAATCGTTGTAACTGACTGCAAGTAGCCTAATACGGTATATATTTTTTTAAAACATGCTCATTATTGTTTCACCGTGGTTGAATTTTAGATTTTATCCTTTTATTTGAAAAGTTTAAATACAGTACTATTTTTAATATTGTTTTTTTCACAATTATCACTCGACGTCTTTATTGAGAGGCATCCTTAACGACAAAAAAGTAGTGCTAATTTTAAGCGAAAGTTTTCCTTTTGAAATTTCTGCTTTTAGTAAGCATGAATAAACTATGAATCATTTGTTCGAGAGTTAAATTACATCTTTGAAATTGACTTATATTTCGAATTCAGACTGCATTTTTGTCTCCCTATGTATCATTTAACAGCTGAACCTTTAGAAATTTTTTAAAACCAGTAATTCTGGAGACAAAAATACTGCTATTAAACTTTGTGTATACCTCTCTCTGTATGAATACATTTTCCCACACTTTCACAAATTATTCACTAATCTTTATTGATTCCATATTTCATATGTAAAATTTTCCCACTGTAATGCCTTTTTTCGATGTTTCGACTTCTGTCATAATTATTTTCTGTGCATTGTTATATATTATGGGTACATATACATTAAATTATCAATCTAACATATATTTATGTATATTTCTAATTAAAAATGTATTATCAATAACTAGCATCTTTTCACTTTTTTGGGGCATTTTTTAGATGAATTTTAACAATGATTGTTCTACGTATTATGATATGCAGAAAAAAAACGCGGGTGTTTGTCTTTTAGAAAGATGATTAGCTTCATATCACAAAGTAATTTCCTTCAATTGACGACAAAGCATGGAAAATATCTCCCTGTTGATACGATATTCCAGGGTTTGCGTTTCTTATCATTATTTCCTTTGTAGACTAAGAGGGTTGCTGGTTACAAGGATGTTGGTGAACCAAGGTTCATATTTCGAACGGATACCATCATGCTTTGGTAGACAGTTATGGCAAATTCATATTACAGATGACTACGCATGTTTCACTTGTAACCATAATCTGTTTTCAAAAGTTTTCTGTTTACCGATTTGCGATCTGCTTTCGTTTGACCACGATGTTGTCTCTCACCTTTTTTATTCACCTCTTTTTCGTAATGTATTAATTTTTTACTTTTTTTCTTTGTTTCTGTCAGATCTATAAGCCTGTTTTCAATCCTTGATGCTGATGTTGATCGAAATACATATTTGCAAATATATTTAAAGACGATAACTTATTTTTTTACTTGTTGATGTTTTTTGTGTTGGTTTGCTGTCTTATTGTCGTATATTCAATGTCTTTTTCTTCATTACAATTTGTAAAAAAAAATACATGCTGGAATACATATAATTTATTGTACAACAAGACGAAGGGGAATATTTTATTCTAATTAAGTGCCACGAAGGGCATACACATTTGACATGACAATAGCATCAATATAATTCGAGATTAGAACAAATAACTTTTAAAATAAAACAAAGTGATATAAATCTTTCTTGAGTAAATATTATTAAAGGGGCATACGATACAGTTATAGTGGAGATAATAACGTCGCTAATAAAATCACAAACATTTAAAAAAAAAAAAAATTATTTCACCAATTTAGAGCATACTTATGTTGAGAAGATATTCCAAATTTTTTACAAAAATCCGCATGTGTTTATGTTTTGAAACAACAAAGTAAGGTATGTCTGTCCAAAGGATAGAAAAGTCCAAGAAACAGAAAATTTGAGTAAATGCCTAAAATGTGGACCCCAGTTATCTCTTAAATTAGCACATGATAGTATTTAAGACAGACAGACAGATACCATAAACATACTAATGTATACACAGGCCAGAGTCTGAGCTTGTTTTGCTATATGATATAAAAACTAAATTGACGAAAAAAGGTCATTTATTCAAAATCATAAAATGCAAAAAATACATTTTGCAAATAAAAGATTTGACATAAAAGTTCATAATTAATATGAAATTATAATACATAATTAATACGGAATTACATCAACTAAAATCATATCAATTGAACAAATGACAAAGAATAGCAAAGGTGAGGAGAAAAATCTGCTCCACTAATAAACATATACTAGTATACATATGATATCTACTTCTAAAGATAAAATTAAGGGAGGTATGCGGGTGGGAATTTTTCACAAATTGTTTGATAAGAATTACAAGTTAACACGTCAAAGGCTTGTGATAAACGGAAGTGATCACAACGCATTTACACGTGAACTCGTATAGCAAATAAGATTAGTTTTTTTATTACATATTTGAATTGACAAGGTGAAAGTTAGCTTGTATGCAAATTTTCGTAAAAAATCACCGTGGGATCAAAACTGTATCGTATGACCTTAAGCAGCTGAAGCTTTAGATATTTACACTAATTTATGCCAGCAAAGAAATAGAAAAGAAAACTTTATCAAATATACGTTATGAAATTATTGATCAACTCTTGAGAATGTTGGTGGCTTGTTGTTACCACATCTGATACAGAAACTGTTGACCTTAACAGATAAAATGGAATCATCATTTGCATCGGGAATGAAAAGTATTTTCCACATATTCATCAGGTACTTTATAGTTCCTGTTGCAGTGCCTTTGAATTCATCTTTAGTGGATTTTGGCCATAAATTCCATGTACCATTTCCATAGATTAGACCTAGTTTGCCATTTTCCTTCATCTCTACGATAATATTCCCGTATATCGGACTATTGTAATGACCAACGTAATCCGTCAAACTTCGTTTTGCCTGAGTTTTTGTGCTATATCCTTTATATCTAGGTTCCGAAAGCTGTTGTATTATTGACGAAGCATTTAGCCACGGCGAGACATTCAGAGCATTATCCGACAGGAAGTTGTGAAGCAGGACGCGGAATTTATACGAGTTATCATCTTGATCTTCCCCATTCATAGAAGTAAAGACACCAACTTTCTGCTCAGGAAATAAGGTCATAAAAGATCTATAACCGAAGGTACTGCCACCATGTAACAACATATTTTTACCTGCAATTAAAAATTGTTTCAACAAAGCATGATAACATTCATGCACCAACCATCAATATGTTAACCATTTTTTTTTAATGAGGAGTTTTTTTTTTGGTGATTTGCCCAATGGTAGAAAATGTATTACTTCCCTTATTTATAATACATACGAAGATAAAGAATTGAACTACCATTGCTGTCGAAAAAATAAGGTTCTGCTTTTAAAAAAAATCAATTAATAATATTAAGAAAAAACACTGTCGAGGTTGATGGGGTGTAAATAAAAAGCGACAGATTTTTATGATACTTGCCAAATTTAGTTTATATCATGCTAATATTAACAGCCTGTCCTTTCCTAGATTAAGATATTTCAGTATTACACCAGAAACTCTACACAAAAATTTAGGACAAAAGGGATGATTTTTCTTTCCCTATTGTTAATTTTCCCTTTTTAGACAGTGATGTTCCTTTGGTGTTTACTAGTATATATCCCAACTCGTTCGCTATGCCGGTGTCTGTAGTGACGTTTTAGATTTCAATGAGCGTAATCTATGTATTACAAGTAAATTATTAAGTCAGGGATTTCGTTACCACAAATTACTTAAAACCGTTACTAAATTCTTCCATATATACAAAGATTTGGTTTGAAAGTTTGGCTGTACCTGTAGAAAACTTATTACACACGGAATAGCACATCCTAAATATTACGGTGATGTTGTTAACCGAGCCCGGAAATTTAGATACGATCCGAGTAAACTTATCAATCCTTTAAATAAACTTATTCTAAAAGGTTACCTTTTCAACAATGTAATTAAATCTTTGAATATTGTTTTCATTGGTATAAATATTGAGTTTGTTATCAGTAAATTAAAACCATACTAAATATTAAACATATGTACTTTCACGGTACTACAATCTGTCGATACCTATATTTTGGCATTGCACAAGGTCATGTTTTTCTCTGACTGTTAATGACGTTTTCACACTAAATTCATTGGGTGTTGGATGTGTACTGATTGATATTTTAGTCTTAGATACATGGTTTTTTTCATTATTTGTTATTGGCTTTGAACTAGCTGCCAGTAACTGTGAGAATTCTCAGATCTGTACTTTTTTGTTGGTAGGGATGAGGGATGTATATATACCCTGCCATGTCCTGTCTGTGTTTTTGTTTGATGTTTTTCTTTGTATCGATCTTATGAGTTTAGCCTTTTTCAACTGAATTTTATAGTTTGTTCTTATGTTTTGCTGTTACACCACTGTTCCAGGTTTGGGGAGGTTTGAGCGCTTACAAGCATGTTTAACCCCGCCATATTCTTTATGTGCCTGTCCCAAGTCAGGAGCCTGTAGTTCGGTGGTTGTCGTTGGTTTATGTCTGTCATAATAGTTTTTCGTAAATTATTTTGTTATAAATTAGACCGTTAGTTTTCTCAATTGAATTGTTTCATATCTTTCATGTCGGGGCCTTTCATAGCCGACTATACGGTATGGGTTTTTCTCATTGTTGAAGGCCGTACGGTTGCCTATAATTGCTTACATTCCCTTCATTTGAACTTTGGTGGATAGTTGTCTCATTAGCAATCATACTCCATCTCCTTATTTTTATATTGTAAAAAATATTAAAAAAGGTGTGGGTTACAGAAGCTTTTTTCAAGCTAAAGGCTGGGAACTATTGTCAAATTTTGTAAAGTTTATACATGGAAAACATATTTAGTGTGAACAGAAAGAAAACTATATGATAGGATTTTAAAATTAAATTATGAAGCAATAGCCAAAATAATGTACTTTCAGAAAATATAAGGGAAAGTTGGGGCTACAGAACTCGTTTTCTTATTACAAATCAAAATATGTAAATTTTCTATGCATTCCTTTGTAAAATTAGATTATCTGAGATATGTCCCCTTAAATGGCTGCTGAGATGGAAAAAACATTGACTCATAAAAAAGGTAATCTGTTAAAATAATAAGTAAAAACACACAATTTTCTTCCTTTAGATACAAATTCTTACAAATGAATTGCATTTCTATGTAAAATCAAAGAGATGATAGCTCTGAGGTGGAAGAAGATGCATAAAAGGTAACTTGATTTACAATGGAAGCAGCCCACACAGACCCACCCTGATGTGTCCCATTATTGCTTTCGACGTATTTTTTCCTTCAAATAATAATATTCTTTAATATTACTCATGTCTCTACAAAAGCTGACTACACTCAACATAAAAATCTACAAATACTGTTGATTCAAATTAATTTTTTTTATAATTCTATACGGTCGACTTGATGCAAGCAATTATATCAGTAATTGATTAGGTTTCACTTGAAAGTTTTTCTGTCAAAGGTACGTGTAGATAGTTCACTTTGGGTATTCCGACTTCTTTCGTACAAAAAAAAATCTGGCCACCATGATTTTAGTCAAGTGTGCTTAAAGTAGGGTTTAAAACCAACATCAATCAGTTAAGCATGAATTGTTATAGTTGTTCACAGTTCCTTGTTTTTTCATTATAAACATATAATTTATTATAATTTTTATGCCCATCGGGCCCAAAATTGATTAATAAAATTTATCTTATCTTATCTTATCTTATCTTATCTATATTAAAAACTGCTAAATATATCCAATGCAGATTTGTCTCAGATCAGGGATTGGGTTTTGAGCACTTGTTAACATTTCAAACCCGTCCATTCTCTGTATGGTCTTGACCCAAATCGGGAACCACCAATTTGTTGGTAGAATCATATTTGTTTTTTATCTAATATTTTTACACAAAAGTACGAGAGTAGGGATGTCCTTTTCCGTCAGGCGTCAAACGTTCATTTTCTGAAATGTTTCATGAAAAATAATACGATTGACAGCAACAAATTACTGGTTCGGTACTCGAGGGTCGTAATGGAAGTACCTTATGACGAATAACGGTAAAAAGCTGGACTATTTATTCGTCAAATCCCGTTTTTGATCACTTAAAACTTTGAAACGTAAGGCAATAAAGGTAATCATTGACATTGGGGACATTCTGACAATGACTGACATGAAAACTACGTACTTTCGATATGGATTCCGTCAACTGACATTAGTTCGTACATTGATATTTCTGTCAACTGACGGTGCATCGTTTGAAGTGTAAAACACCAGTAAATTTACGTGTGCGTTTGACTCTTTATTATCGCAATGACATACTGAAATATTCTAACTTTCGTTTTAAAAAACGCTTGTTTTTCTAAAACCGGAATATGACTTGATTGCGTTAAAGATCTGAACACAGACGGAACAACTAAATCCGTGTAATTTTGAGTTTAAGTCGTACTCTCCGCGTAGATACTTGAAATTAACATAAGATGCATTGCATGAAGTAATGAAAATTCTGTTTATCATTTTTTTTGAAACTTTCGGATTCACAATTAAATTTCCCATTTGTACACTTGCGCAGATACGCAACCAACGTGGTTTGGATTAACCCGAATAGTCCAGTTGTTTTATTCCGATTACTCCAACGAGAAACGGCAGTGGGTGGAGGGCGCTGAATCATTCGAGTTAGTTTCGGATTACAATTAAATTAACGCATGCGTACTACCAAATCTACATTAAAAACATCCGGTTACAAGTAAATAAATAACGTACATGTAATAAGATGAAATCTAATAATTGACATAAATAAAAAGGTATATATTAAAACATTAAAACACAAAAAATTATAACACTTACGATAGTGATTGTTTTTTTGAAGCCTAACTGTACATTTATCTTATAAAATGATGCAGATGCTATTTTACAAACTTGAAACCGATCATGTGTAAACATTGGTGTCAACATATGGCACGGAAGTTATGAAATTGTAAAGCACAGAAAGGGATACGGCAACACTCATATATATTGTATAGATGAGTTCAGAATAAGTTCAATACTTAACTCCTCATTTCCAATACACCAGAAACACAGAAACAAGTAAAACAATAAACCATAGTATACGGTACTGTAAACTCTTGTGGCGTTAGCAACTCCAAGACATTAATTTTATACACCTAATATCAGACATTGTGCTAGACATGGTATGGGCTTTGCTTATTGTTGAAGGCCGTACGGTGACCTATAGTTGTTAATTTCTGTGTCACTTGGTCTCTTGTGGAGAGTTGTCTCATTTGCAATCAAACCACATCTTCTTTCTATCCCTTATGGAACTGAATTGTTTGCCGCAAACTTGCAGCAGACTTGCTGCAAGCTTGCCGCAAACAAAAAGTTTGCAGGAACACAGAAAATAGTGTTTGCAGATGTTTGCCGCTAGCTGCAAACTTCCGGCAAACATTGCAGCTTTTTGCTGCAAGCTTGCGGCAAGTTTGCAGAAACATCAATGTTTGCCGTATGATTGCCAGAAAGTTTAAAATTATAAAGAATGTTTGCCGCAAGATTGCAGAAAACTTTGACCATTCTATATGTTTGCCGCAAGATTGCAGAAAACTTTGACCATTCTATATGTTTGCCAGAACATTGCAAGAATTACACAATATTGACTGGGCATGCCTAGTTGGCACTTCCTGGAAGTTTTCAATTTGAAATTGTGGCTAGGTCATGTTGGTTGTGTTTGGAAAATGCATTTCACAAATAAGAGATCAAGGAGGCATTTTGGGTCAATAGATAAAGATATTCAGTATGTAATTTTGTAAGTACATATAATTCATAGAATGTTTTAATAAAATAATTAATGTTATCATCATACATAATAAAGTAAGCAACTATATATACATGTATGTGTGTAATGAAAAACTTTAGCTATTATAAGTTTGAATTTTGTAACTGATGTATTGTACCATGTTTATTAAAACTACATTGTAAGTTCAATTCTGTTATGCAATTGTTACCTAGCTTTATACTCAATACACATTTGAGATTTATCCTTTTTCATTTCTTAATACAGGTATATGATGTCATTTGAGAATGACCCCTGCCCCCTTTTTCAAAACTCAAATGCATGTATGTATTTCCTTAAATCTTGTAAGTTTGCAAGAACTCTTTCAATGACTGTTTGTATACAGACATGAATTGATTTTTTAAAAATGTTGCTGTGTAATTTGAAAGAGATAAATTAAATATGTCTACACACCTGACATTGGTATAATGTGTAGTTCCTGCAAGTTTGCCGCAAGTTTGCAACAAACAATTGCCGCAAGCTTGCAGCAAACAATTGCCGCAAGCTTGCGGCAAATCTAATTTGCATAATTATGTTTGCAGCAAGCTTGCCGCAACCTTCATTTGCATGGTAAAATGGTTGCGGCAAGTTTGCAGCAATGTTTGCTGCAAACTTGCGGCAAATGTTTGCCGCAGAGCTTATTTTTCGGTAAGGGATATAAACACAAAAATACGTGTACGCTATCAATCACACCCTTTCATGTCTTTTTGATTAAACGAATAAATGAATAAAGTAATATATAATTAAAGAGGGTGCCTGCATGATTAACCGGCAATAAAAGAAAAATCAACAGTATCAGCAAAAGATAATAAAAATGCAATCAAAGCGCTGTTCCTTTGCTTTTTGTGTTTTTGATGTGCATGTACTGATTTTGTGTCATGGATGGATAACCCATATCCTGGTTTCTTTTTATATGAAGAAGTAATCATCTACACATTACAGAAAAACAATTTCAGAAAATATCACCATGACTCACCTCTATATGTTCCGAGTTTAAATCCCAATCCATATCCTGTTTCTTCCGTTGGCTGTATCTGATTTTTGAAATATTTATTGACTGTGGTGTAGGATAAACCGATATGTTCTTCGTGTAATGCATCAAAATAAGACTGATTCATTAATGGAAAGCCAGATTTGTCAAGGCCTCCATTCAAATGGAATTTCATCCATTTAGTCATATCTTCAGCATTGGACATAATAGCACCAGATCCCGCCCATAATCCCCACTCCCTATAAAGAAAATATATACCGTTTTATTAAAATAGTTTAATCAACACTGATATTCACCTAAAACAGTCATTAATCATTTACAGCTTGTATATAACAAAAAAAAATCATTATTGAAAATAGAGAAACGTTTTGAAAGTTTATTGCTATTTCTAATGTTCTTGTGTCTTTTGCTGCCATATTGGTATGTTGTCAATCGGCAAACCTCGGCAGATTCCGGTTATCTAAATTAAGTTCGATATGGGTACCGGAATCTGCCGAGGATTGCCGATTGATACTTTTTTGGATTTTGTTATTCTAATAAAAATGATTAAATACTGAGAAAGAATTTTACTTTCTTGCAAGATTTATTCTACTTCACTGTTTCAAAATTGTTTACCAAAGTTTTGTTATACATTTTCTGATTGAAACATCAGTTGCAAATTACTCACTTGCATTTACCTGTTACATTACATACCTGTGATATTCACTTTAAGACTGGTTTTCACACGGTAAACACTTAGTTGTTTTATATAGAATGCATTTGATTTCGAGTTGAAGCGTCGATCAACAACTTCGATAGATTTAAGAGAAAAATTTTAATGAATGTTTTTGAAAACGTTTTGTTATAACTTGAGCGGTAGACCCAAACGATCTGTTCCGTGAAGTGATTATAAATATATCAACAGTTTTGGTACAACGGATTCTGTTGTTCAGTTATCATTTCAGCCAAGCATGGATGACAACGGTCTGTTGAATTTATCATCTAAACCAGAAGAACAAGAAGATTTCGGTGAAAAATTATGTCCTGGTGCTATTGGTCCTTCTCAGTCTTCTGATATTGAGCTCGAGGGGGAATAAGAGTTAAAGGTCCAGTTATTGGAGAAAAAGAGAGATGCTTTAAGAAAACACAAGCTAAGAGAGCGCATAAGGCAGCTAGAGAAAGAAGTACAGGTGATGTCAGGGTCTATTTTCGGGGAGCAGTTATAATAAACAGAAACAGAACAAGAAGTTAGGAGGCCTGAAAGCAAGGTGTAGGTGCACATTGAATTTAAGCGAATATTTGAGTTATCTAGTGACAGTTTTAAGTTTAGACATTATGAGTTTTAACTCTTCCTATGATAGTATAGTTTATCATTTATTTTACATAGAACAGTAGATTTTAAATATTCTGAAAGCTTAGTGCATAACGTTAATTAACAGTTTTGGTTGACTAATTACCCCCCCCCCCCCCTCGAGTTATTTGAATCGTGCTCATTAGAACTGGGTTGAGAGGCAACTATTTACGAGAAAGGCTTTGTTAAATTCTGACCTCTTTTTATAGCAGGGGGAGAGTTTTGTAGCAGATTTCTCTTTTGGTTTTTCAGAGGGCTGATTTTAGCAGATCCCTAATTATATTTTTTATGGACACTAGGGAGACTTGTTTGTTAGCTGACTCTGTTTATATAAACCATTTATATAGTGTGCCATCTCAGTACTAATATGACACTTCTTTTTTTTGGCTGACCTTCGGTTTTGCGGGTTAATTTTATGCAACTATATTTTTAGAATTTCTACCTTAATAGTTCTTTAAATTGTTTATTGAATTGAACTATTGTGTTGTGTGATACCATATCATCAGCCTATTAAAATGTTTTATTATACATGTTTTTTCATGACTTCGAAAGTAATTTATATTCAATTAAGTTTTTAACTAGTCAGAAATGCATTTCAACTACTGTACACTCAACATTTTGGATATTACTGTCAGACGCTTTTCTTGTATTCATGCAGACATAAGCTTTGTTATTAGCACCATTTTTCATTATCTTGATTTTATGTAGTAGAGATGTGGTATGATTGCCATTGAGACTACTATCCACCAAATGAAGTGGATGTAAGCAATTATAGGCAACATATGGCATTCAACAATGAGATAAGCCCATACCATACAATAGGCTATAAAAGGACCCAACATGAAAAATGTGAAACAATTCAAACGAGAAGACTAATTTATAACAAAACAATTTACGAAAAACAAATAAGACGGACATGAACCAACGACAGCTCCTGAACTACATGCTCTTGATTTGGGACAGTCACGTAAAGAATGGGGTGTGGTTACCATGTTTGTGAGCGCTCAACCCTCATCTTACCTTCGACAGTGGTGTAACATCACAACATAAGAACAAACTGTAAAAATCAGTTGCGATTGGCTAAACCCAAATGATCGGTATGAGGCACAAAACAACTAACATAAAAACCGTTGCAATAGACACAAAGCACCAAAATAAGAGTATTAAGAGTACTCGCAGTTACTCAAAGCCAATTACAACTATTCTCCAAGACTACTGTATCAATCAGTGTAGTCACAATAGTCTGAGAAACGCATGACCTTGTGCAATGCAAAAATATAAGTAAACATTTTTTATTCTGATTGTTAAAGGTCCTTAGAAACGTTCGTTGATAAAAATATGCATCGCGGAAATGACGCGATTTTCAAACGCTTGGCACACAGCCAATCAGTGATGACATCGGGATCAAATGTGAAGATAAGGAGGCGTGTTTCTTCTTTGATCGGCATCATAATATGGTTCATCTTTTTAATTAGAAATACATTATCTGCGTAAAACTTACCTGCTAAACGCTAATGGCACTGGTACAAGGTAGCCTTTTGATCGAGGACCCTTATCGTAACCTTGTGCAACATTTTCTACATCCGCCACAGTGGTGATAAAAGTAGATGATGTCATTCCAAGGGACTTGAAGATTTCAGAATCCACTAATTCCTCCCATGTATGACCTCCAAGTTTCTCAGACAGATAGGTAGCAAAGCCATACATCATATTACTGTACAGGAAAGATGTTCCCAAACTCTTAACAGAATTCATATGCTTGAATCGACTGAAAAAAAAATTTATAGAAAATTTATCTTCAAGGGATTACGAAAGATTTCTGCACATACCTTATAGGTACATGAAATAATCTTACAATTTATGCTATTCAGGTTTGAAATAAAAGATATTGTTTTTTAGTACACTATTGACATAAAGTCTGGCATGACACGGGTTATGTTCTTCTCATATATGTTATGATGGTATGATACTAAACCCCTAACGGGAAGGATTGTGCTTGATATTCATATGATGAAGACATAATCTTTCAATCAGTTTAATTGAAGTCTGGAGCTGGCATGTCAGTTAACTGCTAGTAGTCTGTTGTTATTTATGTATTATTGTCATTTTGTTTATTTTCTTTGGTTACATCTTCTGACATCAGACTCGGACTTCTCTTGAACTGAATTTTAATGTGCTTATTGTTATGCGTTTACTTTTCTACATTGGCTAGAGGTATAGGGGGAGGGTTGAGATCTCATAAACATGTTTAACCCCGCCGCATTTTTGCGCCTGTCCCAAGTCAGGAGCCTCTAGCCTTTGTTAGTCTTGTATTATTTTTAATTTTAGTTTCTTGTGTACAATTTGGAGTTTAGTATGGCGTTCATTATCACTGAACTAGTATATATATTTGTATAGGGGCCAGATGAAGGACGCCTCCGGGTGCGGGAATTTCTCGCTGCATTGAAGACCTGTTAGTGACCTTCTGCTGTTGTCTGTTCTATGGTCGGGTTGTTGTCTCTTTGACACATTCCCCATTTCCATTCTCAATTTTATTATCAAATATGTCTGGCCTGTAGGTAATTTTGATAGTTTTACGCAGATATTGAATTAAAATGACAAATGATCTCCATGGATATGAGATGTGTTAATGTTGATACAACTGCATACCAAATATCATTAACGTATTATCAGTGGTTCCCCTTAACTGACATCATCACACACTTAAAAATGTAAACTCAAAAGTTTCAAAGTCAACAGACCATGATTGAGGATGCGGGGCCAAATACATACCAAGTTTTATTGACCTACCACTAGTGGTTCCGCATAAAAAGGCCTAATCACAAACTAATACATTCTTGACGCCACCATCGTCAGAAACAACATGCCTTAGTTTTGCCTTTGCGATTTCGTCAAAGCGAGAAAATTACAACGATTTGGTCTTCATGAATAGGGATGATCATAAGCAATAAAGATTACTCTGTCTTTAGATTTCCTAAATATTTTGTCATTAGGCATCTCTCATCAAAATGCACAGAGTATTAAATATGGTCTAATAAAAATAAACTGAACTTTTAATGCTAAATATATCAAACATCAGTTCTACAGTATTTGAGGAGGTAAACAAAGAAAAAAAGAAAGAGTTTTGACAAAATGTCAATAATTCAAATATTAAACTACAGTTTACAACAGAATATAAGTTATGCAAAAAGATTAAGAAAAGACAAAAGTATTCCCAAAAAGTGAATCAAGTTAAACAAAATACAAAAAATAATGAAATGGTATCGAATTCACAAGATAAGAATTAGATTGAAAAGAAAAGGAAAAGGAATTAAAAACCAATTGTCCAGAGAGCAATTGAAGGTATTTCCACTTTTGAATTTCAAAATCATTGATAAGAAGTCACTTCCGGTTTACACAAAGTTACTACTGGCATCAAATCATAGGTTTCTTCATACTGATTACAAAAAATATGGTTTCTATGTGCTTTTGCCTGAAATAAGGGAGATCATTTGTTACTTCCGTTAAAGAACATGTCACTTCCGGATTCACACGGATTCCAAAAATATATGGTTTCGATATACTATTGGCAGAAATAAGAGACATAATTTGCTACTTCCGGTTTACAGAAGTTCACATCCGGTCTCAATAATAGGTTTTTGCATGCCGATTAGAAAATATATGATTTTTCCATGAAAGAAGTGGATAATTGCTACTTCCGGTTGACTCAAGGTCACGCCCGGTTGACATTTTCAAGGAAAGAAGTATCCAAACCTAATGCAAAAAATCCTATGGCTTTATCATGTACTAATATGAAGTTGTAGAAAAAGTCAAAATCTAGAATGTTAAATTCTCATTTGACCTTGTACTCAATTTCAAGGCTATAAAAGGATGATCGCAAATCAATATGTAGGACTCGGAGGTGCGATGGGGACGCTGAAGTGCGATGGTCATGCTGAAGTGCGATGGTCTACGCTGAAGTGTGATGGTCCGTTCGCTGATGTGCGATGATCTATTTGACGCGTGATGACTAGTTCAAAATTTACAAACGTGCAATTATTATGACAAGTAGATTTTCTTAATATTTAGTAAATAAATTTACATTTATTATTGTCTGCATACTAAATGAGAGATCGTCCTCTTTGATTTTCTACATGTGGACATAGTTCTGCGTTATTCTGTACAGGTATTTTAGCATTTTATCTTTACGTTGATCCTCTCATGAGTTCCTCGTTAACCTTAATATTATAAACCAGAGTCTGTCTGCGGACCCGTATGTATTTAGAGAATGTCACGTTCCATCGTACGTAAAAATGAACCTTTTGAAGATTTCGAAAATGAAAATCGCTACAGAGAGAAAACTTTTCCCTATCCACCAACCCTCCCCGTTTCTCGTAGTATTTAAAGTTTATAAGCCCCTTATCAACTTAAAAACCTGGAAATTGCTGCTAACATACAAATTGACTTCTACATCGACATGAAAAGAAATGAAAATGTAGTTTGTGTAGATCATCGCACTTCAGCGTTACCATCATCGCACTTCGGCGTAGCTATCAACAAGATAGCGTCACAATGCCACCATCGCACTTCAGTGTGATGAAAAACGCACTTCAGCGTCAAACCATCACTCGGAGTACCATCGCGGTTCAGAGTCTTACAAATATACTCTACGTCTATACTATGTATGATTCATGGTTTATATCTCCATACAACTTATTTTAAACTCTCCTATTAAAAGGGACGGTACTTTTTTTACCAAAATTTTTTTTTGTCATTACTTATTACGGTTTCTAAGGAAAAGGGAAAACAATCAAATATTAAAATTTAGATCATGACCTTGACCTCAAATGTCTTTTCGTGGATCAATGACATCAAATCAAAATACCCTAGGTCTCTATAACTTACAGTTAATGAGTAACATTCATATATCACTATGTCAAATACTGAATGGGAAATAACTCTCATATGGAGTCTCCGTTTCGCTTCGGACAAAATTTAACAAAATATCCTTGGATGCTACAAGGTATTTGGCAAGATAAATTCGTCTTTAAAAATTTATGGTTGCGAAGGAGTAGACATTACAAGTAAAACAGTGTACGAGGAGATAACTCTCACAGGAGAAAGTGTACGGTTACACAGGGTCAACTGCGAATGTGTATTTATTGTTCGATATCATGTACCAAAAATACTTTTCGATATCTTGTGAAACAAAAACAAAATCTCGACATCAAAAAGTGGCGGAAGAAAAAAAAAACAATTGTTCAGAGAACAATTGAAGGTCTTCCCACCCTAAATGCATATATTTTGATAGGAAAATATTCACTTTCGGTCCAAAATGTCAATTCTGGTGTCAGATAATAGCTTAATTCACGCTGATTCTAAAAATATATGATTTATATATACTTTTGCTTAATATAAGGTAGATAAGTAGGTACTTCCGGTTTTCAAAATTTCACTTTCGGTTTCAATTGAACCTGCCCGGCTTCACACTGATTAAAAAAAAAGTTTAAGCAACTTTGACAAGAAAATAATGCAAAATGGCTACTTCCAGTTAAGAAAAGGTAGTTTCCGGTTGACCTTCTTCAAGGTCATATACAGCTAGTTTTAGATAAAAGAGGGGTGAAAACTCCAATTGAATGATAACTTTCCCTTTCAACCAAAATCTATGTGTCGTGGTTTCTTTTAGTGGACAAAGGACCTCAAATCAAAAGACCCTAGGTCTCTATATTTTATGGTTTTCTAGTTACAATTACATTTCCCTTATTTCAAAAAACTCTTATATGGAGTCTCCGAAACGGTCCGGTCAAAATTAAAAGTAACATTCTGAGGATATAACGAGAAATTCGAAAATAATTTGTAGCTTTCTTTTACGGTTGCAAAGGAGTAGTCATAACAAGAAAAACAGTGTTCATGGAGATAACTCTTACAAAATAAAGTGTTCAGTTAAACAGGGTCACTTTCAAAAGCGTATAAACTGTACGATATCATATACAAAATACCTAAGCGACATATTTTGAAACAACAATGCAGTGAAAGACAAAAATAAGGTGGTTAAAATAATTTCAATATCATAGATTAGAAGTTACTTTCGGTTTACTTAAAGTTACTACTGGCATCAAATTAAAGGTTTCTTCATACCGATATGGTTTGTATGTACTTTTGCCAGAAATAAGGGAGTTAATTTGCTTCTTCCGGCTGAGAACATGTCATTTCCGGTTTCACACTGATTTGTACTTACTCTTGCAAGTTAGCGCTGGTTAGTGATCTAGTCGTAAATCTGTATTTAAACTTACTCTTACAATTTCTCTCTGGTTAGTGATGAGCCTAGTCGTAAATCTGTATTTGTACTCACTCTTGTAAGTTATCTCTGGTTAGTTATGAGTCTAGTCGTAAATCTGTATTTGTACTTACTCTTGCAAGTTCTCTCTGGCTAGTGATGGGTCTAGTCGTAAATTTGTATTTGTAATTACTCTTGCTAGTTCTCTCCGGTAAGTGTTGGGTCTATTCGTAAATCTGTATTTGTACTTACTCTAGTAAGTTCTCTCTGTTTAGTGATGAGTCCAGTCGTAAATCTGTATTTGTACTTACTCTTGTAAGTTCTCTCTGGTTAGTGGTGAGCCTAGTCGTAAATCTGTATTTGTACTCACTCTTGTAAGTTATCTCTGGTTAGTTATGAGTCTAGTCGTGAATCTGTATTTGTACTTACTCTTGCAGGCTCTCTCTGGTTAGTGATGGGTCTAGTCGTAAATCTGTATTTATACTTACTCTTGCAGGTTCTCTCTGGTTAGTGATGGGTCTAGTCGTAAATATGTATTTATACTTACTCTTGCAAGTTCTATCTGGTTATTGATGGGTCTAGTCGTAAATCTGTATTTGTACTAACTCTTGCAAGTTCTCTCTGGTTAGTGATGGGTCTAGTCGTAAATCTGTATTTGTACTTACTCTTGCAAGTTCTCTCTGGTTAGTGATGGGTCTAGTCGTAAATCTGTATTTATACTTACTCTTGCAAGTTCTCTCTGGTAAGTGGTGAGCCTAGTCGCAAATCTGTATTTGTACTTTCTCTTGCAAGTTCTCTCTGGTTATTGATGGGTCTAGTCGTAAATCTGTATTTGTACTTGCTCTTGCAAGTTCTATCTGGTTATTGATGGGTCTAGTCGTAAATCTGTATTTGTACTTACTCTTGCAGTTTCTCTCTGGTTAGTGATGGGTCAAGTTGTAAATCTGTATTTATACTTACTCTTGCAAGTTCTCTCTGGTTAGTGGTGAGCCTAGTCGTAAATCTGTATTTGTACTAACTCTTGCAAGTTCTCTCTGGTTAGTGATGGGTCTAGTCGTAAATCTGTATTTGTACTTACTCTTGCAAGTTCTTTCTGGTAAGTGATGGGTCTAGTCGTAAATTTGTATAATCAGGAACGCCCATTCTATGAGCCAATATGTCAACTACAGTTGCCTCCTCTTTCCCAGGAACAAAACTAAATCCGGAATCCATCAAATCTTTCACTTTTGTGTTGAGGTTGTAGCTTAAGAAGGAAACAAAACATTAATGATTCGTAGAACATTAAATTTTTCGTTTAATGATCGTCTTTAATATTTAGACATTTTGTTTACGTTAGGCTACCAGCTATCAATTTGAATACATATGTTGTAATGTTTTTATTACATTTAGTTTTATTATACAGCCAATTTTATATGATAATCCAACCAAAGTCGGACAAAAATTAAGTATTTATCGGTAAAAAAAAACTAAAATAAATCGCATAAATGATTGAATAAAGGACATTTCAGATATGTTTTTCCTTTTCTAAATTACATTTAATAACTGGAGTGGCATAATTTTACATAATATTCTATATATATAAGGCAGTAAGATCAAAGGGGAAATATACAAATTGTCGATTAAGTAGGGTGTTTATTCCTTTCATGGAATATTATAGCATTCAATTTCGTTGGATGGATATAAATCTGCTGCTTTAAAAAGCATTGAACACTAGTTTCTAAACGTTCAAGTGATACACGGACTGTTTAGGAATTTAACGAGAAGCTGTCTTTTTAATGACTTTAGTATCTGGGAAAACGTATAAATTAGTAAAAGATGGGCGATGCGAAATGTTTCGTCAATAGTTAATACACACACATTAATACCAACAGTCATACGCCATGATATTGCTATCACTAAATGTAGAAAAGAAAAGCTGCGATATATTTAATTTTAGTAACGACCGAAAGACTTATCTAAAATGGATCTATTTTAAGTTTTTTTTCGAAGGAAATCGGGTCTACCTAAATCTATATATAAGACTTATGATATTTAATTGTTATCCGAAATTGTTAATGTATTGCTTTTCGTTTTTATTTTGGTTGTGTTTTGCTCTTTTTGAAGTGTTCTTTATAAATATATGTAATCTATATCATATCTATATATATATCAACACAATGTAATGAATTGTATTTACTTTTGACTGTCAGCCAACTGTTTGACAAGTAGTGTAGCCGCAAAAGCTTTTGAAAGCGAACCGATTTGAAAGAGAGTCTTGTTTGTTACTGGTTTCTTGTCCGGTATATTGGTTACACCATAACCTTTGGCAAACAATATCTGGTCGTCCTTTACCACACTGACAGTTAAACCAGGGATCCACTGGTTGCAATGATTCATAATCTGTGTCAAAAATATAAATAATATGTAGCATTATTGTATTGCACGAGAAGCTCACTATTTGGTAGCGCTACCTAACAAAGTATGAATAAAACAAGAGGCGAAAAATATTGAAGCCGAGCAAAGAGACAATCAAATTAAACCTTGTTGTATGTCTGTCTTAAGTCAAACCGGCAATACCTTGGCTAAAAACAAACGACGGAAAGACGAACAACAGTCTACCAAATGCTATTTAGAAAACTAAACCAGCGCAACACGAATCCCACCCAAAACAGGGTGTTATCTCAGTTGTTCCGGAAGGGTAATCAGCAGATCCTGTATCGCATGTGACACCTGTCGTGTTACTCGTGGCATTTAAATGCTGATGTTTCCGTGAATAAGAAGATCACTTTAGTGTATCCATAACTTATCTAATTGATCAACCAAGTCCAGGCATAGTAAAGTTGTAATTCATTTTCCACTTTTTATCTTTTCAATATCTATTACACACTCAGAAATATTTTCCTTATCCAAGTTCATATAATCATGAGGATTTAAATTTCATATAAATTACACGAGTCGGTTTGGTTAAATCTAACGGTCTAAGCATAGGGATAGGGACTGGTAATTTTCTTTTATTTGGGAAACCTGGGAGGAAATATTGGAAGTCCCCTCCTTGAAGAATGAAAATAAATTCAAGGCCCCTTCTAAAAACATGAAAATTTCAACCCCCTCAACAATTCTCAATACTTTTATTCTTTATAACTAAAATACATGCATACAATTTCTATTTACATCATTTTGAGAAATCAATAAAATAAAATATTACGTAAGTAGTGGAACTACAGCTTAAATCACAGGCGGATCCAGAATTAATGAAAATGGGGGAAGGGGTGGGGTGGTAATTCTGGAAATTGGAATACATACCAACGAATGGGAGAAAAGAATAAAAAATGAACAACTTTATGCTTAAAATCAAATAACATGATTTTTTAGGGCGAGCAAAGGGGGCATATGCTCTCTCTTGGTGGTGGCGTTAATTAATTTGGAAATGCCTGTTATGGTCTCATTGACATTTACTAATTTATACAATTTTAGCACTTGTTCTTATCCTTCATTAGAGAAGTTAGTAAATTAACTTCAGATAAAAATACTAATCCGGAAGAATATGTTGATTTGGATCTTAAAAATTGAGCCGACCGGAGTGTGGCAAAATAAAATTGGTATCTTTTTATAATTCCTTTTTAAACATTTTATTGTTTTTATTATAGGGTAAAGCATCTCCAGGTTATAAAGAAAAAATATTCATATAAAACATGTTTAAATGCCCTGGTTGACTGATCTAAAACTAATACAATCTATATGCTCAGTGATGTGTTTTACTATTACACTGTATCTAAACTACCCCGGCGAAAAAAGTTTGGACTCAATAGTATCTAATGTCCGGTACGGTGACGGACAATCAACAGACAGAGAAATGTAGAAATTCTGTTTATTTATATGTTGTTTTAATGATATTGAAGAATATACATACACATATAACTATTTTCGATAGTGTGATGTAATATTTTCTACAACCGTTCTAGATCTATGGAGAAATAAGTAAAAAGGCACATCAAAATGGTGAATTGAGTGAACCCTGCCTCGAATTTGTTTAATTTCTCTTTAAATTGAGCACATTGTACGGAAAGAAAGGTACGAAAAGAAAGATATTAACACGGATATTTCAAGACTTTTCACTATGATCGCCTCAATATTTGCATGTCTGTGCATGGAATGAAAGAAGTGGGTCATGTCAAAATTGAAGCACCCGGTTTTGTCAATGTGTACGACCCGGTTTTGTCCTTAAATTTCACAAAGCAGACCCGGTTTTGTCATAGAAAATAATGCATAATCGCATGACAAAAATTAAAATATGGCGTTCAACAGCAGTTTGAGGGATCGTTGAAAAACATTTTCTTCCAGAGGATAACTTATAACCTTTTTGAATCCGTAAACACTTGAATTCCTGCTATATTAAAACAAAGCAAATTTCAATTTTTTTTTGTATAAAAAAAGGAAAAATTTAAAAGAAATGAAGGTTTTGTAACGCAATTAGATTTGTTTATATCAACTGTGTAAATTTAAGTGTTCAAACTTAAAAAGTGTACGGCCTTGAAAATTTAAGGACGCGCATTTGATATGTGATTTTCTGGACAACAAGATGATTATCTTAATGTTCCGCTCTACTTAAAGGGGGAGACAGTATGATCGTTTGAAAATAAATATTTTAAACTAAACGTTCATTATAAAGCAAGAGAATAAGACAAATGTATATGCATGCAGAATCGCCCAAGAAAAGGAATTACCATGCGGCGAAAAGGATCACAGTAATAGTGCGTTAAAAATCTGTTTACCCCTCCTTGTTACAATAGTATTATGTATAATAATGTTTTATCTCTTTTCTTTTCTTCTTTTTCTTTTTAACATTAACAAATTCTTTAATGCACTAGTATGAAGTTGTTAACAACTGCCCTATATAGTACAACTATTATATATAGGTTTATCTCTTCATTGTATAATGATTATCGTACATTGACAAGTGTTCTACAATTTAAGCACGTTGGTCAAGTTTAAAATTGTCAATATGCAAGGGCGGACCGAGGCCATGATTTTTGAAAAGGGCATATTCATAAACGGATTTTACACCGCCGAGCGTAGCAAGGGGAACTTTTTTTACGATTTTATGCTAAATAAAAAATTATATATAAATCATAAAAAACATGATAAAATAATTATTTCTAGCCACCAAAAGGGGGGGGGGGGTCGTCGTACTCCCTCTACCCCCTGGATCCGCCACTGATATAATGTAACTATGTCGTAAACCATCATAAAATTTAATAAAAGACGAAAAAACAGAGACAGCCGCCAATCGCATATTTACTATAGGGGCTCTGTAATCAAATGAGTTAAGCCTTTTTCAACTCATTGAATTTTATAGTTTGTTCATATGTTGTGCTGTTAAACCAGTTTATTTTTTTTCTTGATTTTTTTTGGGGGGTGGAGGGGGCGCTTACACGTTCAACCCCGCCATTCTGTATGTGCCAGTACCGAATCTAGGAGCTTTTAAATCGGTTGTTGTCTTTTGTTGCTGTATATCATACATGTATTTGGTTTTTTTTTTTAATATTTTGTACATGAATCAGGTCGTTAGTGTTCACATTAGTTTTTTTTTTTACAGTTTTCATTTCGGGGCCTTATCTAGCTTGCTATGCCGTATGGGCGTTTCTCATTGTTGGATGCCGTACGGTGTTCTATATTTGTTAACTTTTACGTCATTTGGTCTCTGATAAAAAGCTGCCTCATTGTAATTTTTCACGGGCTAAATTGTCACTTAGGTTGTTCTACGAAGACGAAAGCGAAGATATTGGACGTTATAATGTTTCAAACCAACTTTTATTTATAAAAAGAAATAATTCTTTCATGCCATGCTCAATGCTCATTTTAACATAGGTAGGCATTATATTTGTTAAAATTTTTAAACCAAGCGTTAGCAAGGTATAAAATATTGACAAATATAATGCCTACCCATGTTAAAATGAGCGTAGAGCATGGCATGATAGAATTATTTCGATTTTAATAGGGAAGTTCAGAACTTGTGTATTTCGAAGAGGACATAAAATACACGTTCGAGAGGCAAACTTTTGATTTGAGATATCCAAAATGTTCTTATAGATATAAGAAGATGTGGTATGAGTGCCAATGAGACAACTCTCCATCCAAGTCACAATTTGTAAAAGTAAACCATTATAGGTCAAAGTACGGCCTTCAAAACGGAGCTTTTTCTCTCACTGTCCGTCAATGGATGATCGAATGAGTAAATATATTGTAAACATAGCGTATAGTATAGTAAAGCATACTATCCTTACTCTTTTGATAAATTGATATGGTAACACAATCATCCACATCTTCTTATTTTTACATCATTACAGTAGTATAGAAAACAAACAAGCATTTGTTAGATGTATTTCTATTTGTACCCATCTGATGAGTTAAGCGTTTTTCAACTGATTTTTATAGTTCGTTCTTATGTTGTACTGATACACCAATTTCCCAGGTTAGAGGAGGGTTGGGATCCCGCTAACATGTTTAGCCCCGCCACATTCCGTATATATGTACCTGTCCCAAGTCAGGAGCCTGTAATTCAGTGGTTGTCGTTTGTTGCTTTGTTACATATTTAGTTTCGTTCATTTTTTTGTACATAAATTAGACCGTTAGTTTCCTCGTTTGAATTGTTTTACATTTGTCATTTCGGGGCCTTTTATAGCTGACTATGCGGTATAGGCTTTGTTCATTATTGAAGGCCATATGGTGACCTATAGTTATTAATTTCTGTGTCATTTGGTCTCTTGTGAAGAGTTGTCTCATTGGCAATCATACCACATCTTCTTTTTTATATCATAAGGAATTAATGTAAGTACATGCTATAAAGTATTTATTTCCATTTAAATTTAGTTCGAAGATAAGTTCAATAAGGTATACGTATAGCATCCAAAAATGTCTACTCCCTATTTTGAAAAGTTCCAGTTTGAAATATATTTTAACACGACATGTTTGTATTGCAATAACATCTTTATAACATCATTTTGACTCACATATTTAATTTCTTCCGATGGGCAATGTTCAGATCCGTGTTAACGTAGCTTTTCATAAATTTATGGTTTCAAAACAAAACAAAACCGGGTCCTATACTGAGGCAAAACCGGGTCCTTAGGTAATAAACAACATTGACGAAACAGGGTCCTTCCATTTTGATATGACCCATTTCTTTCGTTCCATGCACAGAAATGCAAATATTGAGGTGCTCATAGTGACTAGCCAAGCAATCTCTGTGTTAATATCTTTCTTTCCGTACTTTGCTTTCCGTACAATGTGCACAATTTAAAAAGAAATTAAACAAATTCGTAGCAAGGTTCACTCAATTCACCATTTTCATGTGCCTTTTTACTTATTTCTCCATTAATCTAGAACGGTTGTAGAAAATATTACATTACACAATCGAAAATAGTTATATGTGTATGTTTATTCTTCAATGTCATTAAAAAAACAAATAAATAAACAGAAATTCTACCTTTTCTCTGTCTGTTGATTGTCCGTCACCGTACCGGACATTAGATACTATCGAGTCCAAACATTTTTTGCCGGGGTAGTTTAGACACAGTGTATTAATCATGTAAGGAAACGGCTATTAATATAATCAGTGTTTTATTATTATGGAAAAGTTTTGAGAAATCCTACAAAAACTAAGGCATCAAACCATCAATCCCTGATATTGTCATTCTTCTGCTGAATAAGCAGATTCTAATTTAGTGTGATCAACAAATTAGCTATAATTTTTGGAAGTTTGAAAAAACAGAATTGCTCAAATCTAGTAAAAAAAATTCGATGCCCCCCCATTGTGAAGTATTTAAAAATTGGATACCTCCTATCCGTTCCCAAAAATTTTCAAGGTCCCCATTGATTTCTGCCCCCTCCCCCTTTCAGGTTACAAATGACCGATCCCTTAGTTCGGAATTTAGTAACTTATACAAGGCATTTTCTGTCAAAACATTGAATTTGCAGTTTGGTAAAAACATAGTAACTTTGTCGTATGATTTTTATAGCACCACGTATAAAGATTTAATTAGGTCCTAAAGACACATTTTCATTGTTACTTCTTAAACCCTTGATGATAATTAACTCCCGTACGACGGGGTTGTAGATTATCAGTCCAGCCAGAGCATACACAATTGCTGTTTTAAAGTCAAGTTACAGTAAATGGGTAACGTCAGAGATTTGTATAAGATTTTGCATAGAACTGCGGCATGTTAAACTATAACTAAATATCGAAAAAAAAATAATGCATTCATCTCTTTTATTTTCTGACATAATATGTGACGAATTCTTTCAAAATTGATGTACATTTGTATAGATAGCACATGGAATCGGTATACAATGTTCTTAAAATTGTATTTAGACCATAAAATCTCGAAAACCAATTTATAGATTTTTGTAAAAAGTGATATATTGTTGCCACATACATTTCTGTTTTATTGATACAAAATAATCATAAGATTTATGTTTTATCAAATCTGCTACATGTACCTAGTATGAAGTGAAAAACATGGAAAAATGACGCTTGAAAAGTTTTACTACGCGACGAAGCTACGCTTCTTTCGTCGCATTTTGTATTTTTTTCTACATCAAGAACACCACTTTGACTGATTTAAAAAAAAAGACGAAGTCTGTGACCCTATAAATACTTTACATCATTAAAACGGACTTTTAGTTAAAGGTCAATATGTAAAAGTTGTATGTTGTATGCCAAATGTTAACATAATCAGTGAAACAGCCCATTTACTGTTCATTGACCGTAGATATTTAAACAATTGTCAACTAATCAGATCGGCACAAAGAAAAAAAAACTATCAAAAAGAAAAAAACACAGAAAAGACTTGATCGCAGCTGCTGAAAGTTAGTTCAAAACCAATTTATACTAATAGTAAATAAACCACATTTACCTCGACTAAATTATCAATCAGTACATATCCAATGGACTGGGACTATTATACTATTATACTATAGTATAATAGTCCCAGGAATGGATTACAAGTAAGTGCAAAGACGTCATAAACATATTATTTCTTAAAACTAACCTCTTGTATGGTCTGGTCAACTTTATCCTCGAACGTCGGCTCAGACGCAAAAGCAAGAAGAAGACTTGACACAAATATTTGGCCGAGAAAAAGTTGTCGAACAGCCATTTTCCGTCATCTATTTTCTCTAATTTGAAAGCGTCTATCAAGCTTTTATATTAAAACAGAAGTCAATATTATTCTGTATGTTTGGCAACTAGCCTAGGAAACTTTATTTAAGCATACAGCCATCAATATTTTGTTAGCATGTTTACCAATGCATATGGAGACTGGTGTATTAAATCCGAGTTCATAACAAAAAAATGATTGAGTAATTAGTCTCGCTATTCATGATAATTTGAACCATATCCTGTTTGTTATGATGAATTAAAATGATCATAGGTGATGAAAGTAAATATTAAACTTCCATCGTTTGTTGGTATACTTAAAATACTTAGCAACTTGATAAAGAGCAAGTTCTTATGGATACATGTACATAAAAGGTTATCGACAAGCACTGAAAAAGCGGATTTTGGGGTTGGGGTTGGCGGTTTTTGAGGTGAAAGTGGGAGGCAACTAAATTTAGTCAGTATCCTATTTATACGCATGTTTGATATTCCGATAGTTAAGTAAAATATTAATGTCGCTTATCAGGACGCCTCCTAAAATGATTAAAGTTAGATACGAATATCATTTAATCTTTGGAAAGTCTTTGTGAGTTATTGCCCTTAAATGACATTTTTAACCATATATTATTCTTTTGGCATTAACCTTTAAAGGTATACATGTAACAGATAGATAGAAACTGTAAACAACTACTCGCAAAGCGATTTGTGTTAGCACGGACCGACAATAAAATTCTTCCATAGATACAAAGATATGGTTTGCAAGTTTGTCTGTACCTGTAAAAAACTTATTTCAGACGGAATAGCACATCCTAAATTTTACGGTGATGTTGTTTACCGAGCCCGGAAATTTATATAATCTTTGAATATTGTAATATTGATTTTGTTATCAGTTAATTAAAACCATACTAAATATTACACATATGAACTTTCATGATACTACAATCTGTCGATACCTATATTTTGGCATTGCACAAGGTCATGTTTTTCTCTGACTGTTAATGACGTCTTCACACTAAATCCATTGGATGTTGGATGTGTACTGATTGATATTTCAGTTTTAGATACATGATTTTTTTATTAGTTGTTATTGGCTTTAATCAAGCTGTCAGTAAAGGCGAGTACTCTCAGATCTGTACTTAGTGTCCTTTTTGTTGTTAGGGATGAGGGATGGATAAATACCCTGCCACGTCCGGTCTGTGTTTATGTTTGATGTTTTTCTTTGTATCGATCTGATGATTTAAGCCTTTTTCAACTGATTTTTATAGTTTGTTTTTATGTTGTGCTATTACCCCACTGTCCCAGGTTAGGGGAGGGTTGAGCGTTCACAAACATGTTTAACCCCGCCACATTCTTTATGTGCCTGTCCCAAGTCAGGAGCCTGCAGTTCAGTGGTTTTCGTTGGTTCATGTCTGTCATATTTATTTTTTCGTTAATTGTTTTGTTATGAACTAGGCCGTTAGTTTTCTCAATTGAATGGTTTCATATTTTTCATGTCGGGGCATTTTATAGCTGACTATACGGTATGGGTTTTTCTCATTGCTGAAGGCCGTACGGTTGCCTATAATTGCTTAATTACACCCACTTTATTTGAACTTTGGTGGATAGTTGTCTCATTGCCAATCATACCTCATCTCATTATTTTTACAAAGCAGCCAACGATGTAGTGGTGGTATGAAGTAAATTCTACACGGAAGTTCTTAAGAATGAAATTATACATTCTTCTACATTCAGGTTCGTGCGCTCCACAGAGAGTCATATAGTAAACAACCATAGTTATCATTACCACATCTCAGCTTAAGGCCTTTTCTAAACATTTGAAGATCCCTACTATCTATTGGTTACCTAAACTACACAAAAACCATAAAATATCGTTTCATCTCGGCCTCTAGTAAGTGTTCTACAACTATTCTATCAGTGCTTTTAACTAGTTCCTTAACTACTATCAAAGATCAATAATTTTTGTAATAAAGCATATGAAAAGAGTAAAATTAGCTATTTTTGGAGTGTTGAAAATTCTTTGGATGTTTTGGTTAAATTACGTGCTTTTAATGGTCCTTTTAATTCGGTTGACAGTTTTGACTCATCAACACTTTACACTACACTTCCACACAATTTTATCAAAGAGAAGTTTATCTATTTAATTGTATTTGCTGCGACTCATATAAAGCCTTCTGTACTTTCTGGAGGTGTCATGAGATGATTAAAGCTATAAATTTTCTCCTTTATGTACGTTTCGGTTATAAAGTTTAGCGAGAAGTTGATATTCCTATGGGCATCAATTGCGCCCCTTTAAAAGCAGACGTGTTCCTGTACTGTTATCAATCACAGTATATAGCCAAACGCAATATATTTACATTGTAGTTCGTGATACTGTATAAACTTACTAAATTTGTCAAAAAGGTGACTTATAGGTCTAATGGGCCGAGTGCAACATTAACTATACAAACTTTGTAATTGTGTCATATTTATTGACACATGTTCACTATAATTAACAAATTACTTACTTTTATAGAACCGATTAAATTCCATTTAATTGATATATTCAACAACACTTATTATTGTTGTCTTGAGGATATTTTCTCATTAAATGATCAACAATTCTCTAAATATACTGCTGAAATGTACCCAGAGGAACTTACTTTAAATAAATAAAATATAAACACCAATAAGGGTCCTTTCCTAGATTAAGAGATTTAAGATTTACACGAAACTCTACACACAAATTTACGACAAGATGGACGATTTTTCGGTTCGTATTGTCAAATTTCCTGTTTTGGACGGTGATGTTCCTTTGGCACCATCTTACATACTGTATATATGTTTCTATATTTCAACTCGTTCGCTATGCCCTTGTCTGTAGTGACGTTTTGATTTCAATGAACATAATCTATGTATTTATGGTAAATTATTGAGTCAATGATTTCGTTTCCATAAATACTCAAAATTAACCTTTACTTTTAAAATGCATTCATAGATACAAAGCTGAAGCTAGGGAGTGTTTTTTTTTGTTCTTCGGTAGTGAACCAGAAGAGGTCCATTTCTGTTTGTTTGCATTAGGAATACCTTCTGTCTCTCTTCTACCTCTTCCTTTTAAATAGGTAGTTTAGACGGCAGAGGAACATCACAAACATGGCATCGCTTAATCTAAGTGACATTAATAAATTTATGAATGCAGATATAATTGAATGTGAGCTGTGTGATAAACGTTTTTATGGTATGACAGTCTTAGTAGGACATCCATGTAGGGACGATAAACTGGATAGATATAAGAACTACACGGACAATAACAGTAAGGGGACAACTATTTGATATTCTGGAGAGAGGGAGGGGGATTTTTTGCGGATTTATTATTCATTTTGATCTGTCGCTAAGCATGTCTAATTTGTTCAGCTCTTACCAGACCACTATATTCATATTAAAAATCCTCCTGTCTCCCACCTCACTCCCAAAAAAATAAATATCAAATGGGTTTCCCCTTATTTAACACGAGTTTAACTTGATTAATTGTTCGTTGCTTATTTTTAACATCCAGTGACAAATACTTTATGCATGTTCAGGAAAACACGAGTTTAAAAGTCAGGTATATAATATAAAAATATAAAGATGTGGTATGATTGTCAATGAGGCAACTATCCAACGGAATTTTCAAATGAAGTGTATGTAAGCAATTATAGGCAACCGTACGGCCTTCAACAATGACAAAATTCCTACCTATATAAGTCCCCGACATGAAAATTGTGAAACAATTCAAACGAAAAAACTAACGGCCTAATTATATATAACAAAACAATTTACAAAAAATCAAATATGAGTCGACACACATGAACCAACAACAACCACTGAACTACAGGCTCCTGACTTGGGACAGGCTCATAAAGAATATGACAGGGTTAAACATGTTTGTGAGCGCCTAACCCTCCCCTTAACTGGGACAGTGGTGTAACAGTACAACATAAGTCGTCCGGTCAGAATGGGGACGTTAAATTCGATGCCTCGTGTAGCGAGAGTGCCATGCTCTCTGCACAATAAGAACCCTTGCAACAACTCTTTCAGGGGTCCATAGGTGGCCTATTGCAAGGCCAAATTTCTGTCCCTATCCAATATACCCTCATTTTCCTGTGGTAATCGGAATTTCCCCGACCTTATCCCGGACGGTCCCAATTACAAGACTTACCTATTGTATTTATTGTAAATTTGTTCTCGTCCTGGACATGCATGACATATTTGCCACTGGACGTTAAGCAACCAACAACCAAAACTAAACCATAAGAAAAAAATGTAAAAACCAGTTGCAATTGGATTAACTTGAAAGATCGGTACGAGACACAAAAACAACTAACACTAAAACAATAGACACGAAATACCGAAATAAAGAGTATTGCAGTTTATGGAAAGCTTGTTCATAGCCAATTACAACTAATAAATAAATCATGTTCGCTGAGACTACAGTATCAATCAGTACACAACCAACGGATTTGGCGTTAAAAACAGTCTGAGAAACACCATGACCTTGTATACCCAGTATGCATATACAATTAAGATTCTCGTAAAGTGGTGGTCCGAAGGTTTAGTCCATCGACATTTTGCAAGGACCGGCACAAATTTGGTATTTTGCAATAGAAATACTTGTTAGGACCAGCAGTTTTTCCTCAAGGACCACCAGGGAAAAAAAGATTTCGAGAACTCTGCTTTGGAAATTTTCTTATGTACAAAAATAATCCAGTTTGGTTACTTTAAAAAAAAAAAGATAGACAAGATGTCCTTTTCGATCATATACGACATATACCTGACAAACATTGACAAATTCTTGTACAGTTTAAGATTATTCCTGAAAATCAAATGGTCGGAGCTTTAAGCCGGTATTGTTTAGATAAATTAAGTTAGGAAAGCATAAAGAAAAAATGCCACGAACACAGAGATTTCTTCCAACCAATTTTCTTTGTTTTTAGACTTATATAATTACAGCAATGCCAAACCAGAGCACACTATTACAGTCATGTCTACCAAATGAATTGACGTAACTACATTTTCTAATAAATCATCGTAAACTTCATTTATGTCATCCAACATAAAACATTCTGCTATATTCGACGGCAAATTGAAGTTGTGTTTTATTTCTTCTTCTACAGGATATCTGCAGAAGAGGTCCAGATTCATTTTTTTTTTTACTACAGAA